TCTCCCATCACCCCTGGGTGAATTCGGGGCCTCTAGGATGTGCTACCAGCAGCCAGTTTAGAGGACTGCGATGCCCTCCCCACTCCTGCCACTCCAGGTACTGCTGACTCTCTGAGAAGCAGGAAATACCTGACAGGGCAGAGATAGGGGACAGGTGACTGTGAATGTCCCGAAAGTCCCAAAACTCCAAGGGTTCATGATCAACACATCAGCCCTCCTGGGAACATCTCAAAAGCAATGGTAGTCATGATCTCAGACATTTCTGGAGAAAGAAAGGTGCTGTCAACCAAGCAGCTTCTCCTAAAGTTCTGGAAATTATTGCCGCAACAGCTGAGATGTCCTGGTCACTCTCCTGTTCCAAGAGACCTTGCTTTAGCCACAGCAGGCCTGAATCTTGGGTCTGTCCCAGATGACCTTGCCCTGTGCCTGTCACTGTCCCTCATTACTGGGGAAGTTCTCCAGCAGGCCCCCAAAATGCAGAAACTGTGCATGTGTAGCCCACTCATGCTTTATGTAAGAAGCTCCGCACCGTCCTGGGGTCAATGGAGGAGGCTCCCTCCTGTGCACTACCCACTGTGCTCAGCACAGGTCCCAGTAAAGCCTCACTCGGTTCTATAAACCTACTCTGCATTCTTATCTCTGGTAGTATGGACAGAGCAGGTCACATTAAAAGAGATGGTAACACTAGGGGCTGTTGGCCCCATACAGCTGTGCTGTATAGACTCTGCTGGCCTCTCACAGAGGAGAGATCTGGTGCATGTCCAGGGTGGGGGGCCCTTAGAGGTCCCCCTAGATGACCTCGTGGCTATACATGGTCCTCTCACACACACATGGGCAGAACTGCCTGGCTGAGCAGCCAACCCACAGAGTCATAGGAAGGAATTGATAACTGCTGCTTTACCTTGTTACACAAAGAGGAATAATGGGACCAGCACATCCCTACTGAGGTTGAGCCCCTCTACACCCTCTCCAAGAAAGCAGAGAGAAAAGGGAGATTGGGGTTAAAGACACCTAGGAGTAATTGTTCCTCCACTACCTTAGACAAAGTCCCTTGCAAAACCGCTTTTTATGTCTGTCTCTAATGAATAAGAACAATGACACCCCATCCAGCACCTGCCTACCAAGGCTGGTGTGAGGTCAGGAGATATGATGTGTTTATTTATTCGTTTGCTTCACAACTTGATCAAAAGATGATTAAACAGGTCAAGATAATAGGTGAAATATTTTTCATCCTGTAAATGAGTGTGGCTCATAAATTTCAGGTATTGTGTTATTTACCAGACCATTCTCTTGTAAACTCTCTTTAATCTTTATTCTTCTCTACCAATATTTTTATTAGAAAAAAACATTATTCTACCTAAATAATTAATTTCCTAATTAAAATTGACCCCCTTCTACTCATTGCATTTTAAAATTGAACCTCCTGGCTTTCCCCACCCCCTGGTCAGTTAGTTTGGGGTAAATATGAGCTAAGTTGGCTCAGGGCCCAGTGAAGGAAGGGGGACTGAGGAAACCTGGACCATTCACTGTGTCCCTTAACAGGAACAGTCTGACTCAGGTGGCTCTCAGCCACATAAGGCCAAACTTAGAAACTACTCGAGATTGTCCCCAAAGGCAATATTACTCCTAGTGACCCTGCCCTTATCCCCATCCCTTAGACTCTGAAGTGACAAAGGAGGTAGATCGTGTAGGTGAACTAAACAGACTGAGAACCCATTTCTTGGTGGCTATGTCTGATGTTAGATCATCATGAGCTTGTGACCTGTATGCAGTTCTCCTAGCTCAGTGGTCTGTCCAGAGATTTCATTTACAATGAATGTAAGGAATCGAAGAGCCTCTGGGGGGAGAAGGGATATGAGAAAAAGGGAATCAGATGGAGGGAGGTATTCTGGATGATTAATGTGTGTGACATTGCTGCTTTTCCATCAGTCAGACCTTTGATTTGCAAGTGTGTCAACCCAAATCAACCACTTCAGTTGATACTATGAGGTCAATGGCATTTGGGGTATCACAGCTCCTGTCTCATATTTCTGAGGCCCTTTGGAAGATTCAAAAGGTAATTCCAGCCCTGCTAACTGGGTCTGCTGCAGTCTAAGTTCATAGAGTGGATGCTAACAGTGGTCGTTCTTTCTCATTCTTGAGGGAAAACAGCAGTTTTTATATTTATTCCTGACACATGTGGTTCCCTTGTCCACCGCCACATACAATATTGGTTTTTGTCCTAAAGCTGAACCTCAAAACAACTACTATCCAGCACATGTCAAAGAGTGGTTGATGTTTCTGAAGGTATTCGTACCAAGGGATACTGGATTGTTTAAGCTCTGTTTGTTTTTTAACTTCAGGCTCCCAAAGCAGCATGTCTGGAACATAAGAGTACATATCCTCATGGAATTGCTTCCCATAGTGACAATGTATGCTAAGCTGATGTTACAACTCCAGCTGTCTGATCAGGAGGAAATGCAGAAACACCTGTGTGGAGAACAGTTCTTGATCTTGTGCAAACCAGCCAAAGGTGAAAGACATTTACACTGGCATTTTAGTATCCAGATTTAAGCCAAATTGTAATCAGAAGCTGCTCCCATAAGGAAGAGAGGCACAGGGGCTGGACGTGATCAGTACCCTGTCCTCTTTTGGGGACCCCTAGAGATGCTTAATAAAGATGTTTGTGATGTCTCAAAGAATAAGGACAGACAGGAGTCTCTGTATGTTCAATGATATCCAGACAAGATTACATCTATCTCACAATAGAGATGTTTCTGCAATGGGCCAGAAATATTCAGTCCCTGGTAGCCTCCCTAGTGGCCTCACCACATGAGGGATGACCTGGCATGGCTGTCCTTTGTCACGCAGCAAAACTAACCTTTGTCTAGGGACTTCCTTTTCCCTCCTTCCAGGCCTGACTGAAATGGCTGGGTTCCCCTCATGTGCTCAGGTGAATTATCGTCTAGTCCAGCTGACCTTGGAGCCATCTCCCTTCTCAAGGTCAGCTTGCCCTGGCCCCACTACACACCTGACCACTCACCTTGGGGTGAATGGATCCCCGAACTTCCTGATCCTTTGTTCTTGGAGACCATCTTCACCAGACCTTAGCCTTAGAACATCTAGATCCTCAACATCCCTCACACACACCCCCTACACAAGCACATACACACAAATGCATACACAAACACAGTCATACTCACACACCACATAAACACACACAAACACAAAGCCACAAATACACATACACAAATAAACACATATATACAAATACACACATAAACACATATTCATACAAATAAATACACACATGACACATATACATATAAATACATACAGACACAAACACCTCGTGTTACCCTTTTTTGGTTTTCAGTTTTGTTTTGCTCTTGATAACTCCTTGTGGCAGAATGGAAAAGTTTTTTCTCTACATAAGGTTACTGAGGAAAATAGAATAGAAGGAGAAAATGGAAACAAAGCTTTTGTAAATAAGGAGGGGAAGAGGGGTCAAATGGGGGCATGGGGAAAAAAGAAGCAAGATATTTCATGTAAAGGTACAAATTCTCTATGATGAATGCTATCATTGTGTATATCTAAAATGTACCAATAAATGTTTTGCTTCAAAAAAAAAAAAAGGTTAACTGAGGGAGGCCACAGAAAAGGGAGGAGGCAGAGCCCAAGGGCTTCCTGGTTCCTTTTGAGTACACAGCAGTGGGTGGACCCTCTCTGGAATGAGGTGGGCAAAGTCTGAGGGTGGTCAGCAGAAGAGTGTCCCCTATAATGTCCATCTCCCGAAACTGGACTGTGCATGTTACACAGCAAAAGGGATAGGGCAGCAGTCGGATGGAGGCTGTAACCAGCTGGCCCTGAGATGGGGAGACTCTGAGGGTCCTTCATGGGGAAGGCAGAGGTGGGAGCACCAGTGCCAGCATGCTCCACCTGAGGAGGGCTTGGCCACCATCGAGGGTGGAAAGGTGCAGGAGGACCACGAGCCATGGAGTGGCTCCCAATGCTGGATCAGGCAACAGATGCCCAGAGCATGCCATGGGTAATACCACCCTGCTGACCCCTGGTTTTGCCCCAGTGAGGCTGTCAGTTCCTCACCTCCAGGGCTGTAGGGCAAGGGGTGTGTTGTTTTAATCGCTGATTTGTTATAGCAGACAGTAACCTCATATAGTGAGTTATATTTGAAACGCAATGGGACATCCCTGAGGCACGTTCAAAGCAAATCAGGTAGCTGTGCAAATATGCAAAGGTGCAAATGTGCAAACGTGCTGGTTTAGCCCAAGAGCTTCTTGCACATGGGTGTGAGGGGAAAACCCAGCTGGAGATTGGGACCCAGGAGGCCACAGCTTTATATGGTGCCCATATGGCTTCCTTGCCCACTGTCTCCCAAAACCACCTTGTGAACAGAATTCACACGTGGCTACTTCACTATCTGCAAGATTAAGATCACTATGCAGAGGGGCAGCCCATCCCCGCAGGTCCCAGAGGTAAGCAGGAGTGATAGATTTTCCAGAGCGGGCCTGGGTCAGTATGACCATGAGGCCCCAGCAGTGTGGCCAGGACCCAGGGTGCTTGTGTTCTGAGCGTGACCCTTGAGGTCAGACCCATCGTGCCTGGGTACACAGTAGGGTACAGGAACATCCTGGAGCCAGGCTAACCAGGACAGCAGTGCTGCTGTTGTGGGAGCAGAGAGAAGGGCTTGGCTTGTCCTGAGACCCATGTCTGAAGGCTCCAGCCTTGGTGCTAGGTCCACCCTTTCCCTGGACAGAACGGCTGTGGGTGACCAGCTTAGCTCTCAGGCCAGAGGTCTGTCCCACATTTAGGCCTCTGAAGCCCAGATTTCTGACACACGGGTCCTGGCGCTGGACCTACCGGGAATGAATAGTCACAGGGACCCTGTCATCAGGCCGAGATCCCAGAGTCCACAACTTCCTATGGAATTTGAGGGAAGGGTATGTTCCCTCAATGCCAGAACCCTTCCTGACCCTGCCATGCCAAGAGAGAAAGCCAGACTCTTAGTATCCACAGGTGAGAATTTATTTCATACCACCCCATTTACAGCATTTTCAAGTACAGGATTCTGCCCAGCGTCATTCACACGTGGACACAAAAGACACGACTTTGTAAGGCACCAGGTTGTGGCAGGCTAGAGAGGAGCCCTGCTCCTACTTCGGCTTGTGAGATTCCTGGGCAGATTCCTGGGCTGGTAAGTCGGCCAAGCAGAGAATGGAGGTTGCGAAACATCCATTTGTTCACATGTAGTAGGAGGACAGTTTGCAGCCCAGTTCAGTGTTTCTACATCATGGTATCAGCCCGGACTGTAGGACTTAAGCCTAAAGCCCTCTGCAAACCAAGCTGCACATTTAACCATTTCAGCTTTGAAGTGAGTCACCTTCATACTTAATTCAAACACATATCTTTAAATTTTTCTCAGCCTATATCTCTATTTTTCAAGAAGAAAAATGGAGGAAACTTCACATACAATCGTTACCTCATTATTCAATAAATGCAGCAACATACAGTAATTAAAAACTGTGGCGCTTAAATGTCATCCAACTAGACGTGAGACTCAAATTTTCTAGTGAAGTTTCAGAATGGGGCTTACAGCCTCCCATTACATCCCGAGGTAGAGGGCACAGCCCAGACAGTCATGGTGCAGACTCCTTTAAGTTTGTGTTCTATGTTAAAAACTCATTTGCCTTTGTACATTTTAATATAACACATGAAATGACTTTTCAGTTAACTGGTCCCTCCCCATTCTGCACACAGGGCTGACAGGGCCTCATTTAGCAACCTGCTGTCCAGAGAGGAAAGCCAGGCGTAACTAGATGGCTACAGGAAGTAGGTCTGTTACAAGCATTTTCACAATGGAAGCAATTTTTTTCATTCAGGTTTAACTAAACACTTCAGGAAACTATGACTGATACCAATTTCAATGTGTAGAAAAATCAATAGTAAACAGTCTACGTATTTTAGTGGCTTAAAGATTAACTTTTGTCAAACAAATTCTTTAATTTTATTTACTAACAGGAAAAGAAGCCCCTAAGTATGGCCCGATCTTTTACTGTTTTTCTATAGAAAAATACAAATTAGATTTTTAGAAATATATAAAAGATAACACAAAACATACAGAGATGAAAACTCTGTTAGCCACTGGCTTCATGGAGATGTTCCCAGCTAATTACTGAAGTGACTTTGGTGACTGCTTCACCCAGGGCAAGCCTAATGCTATGATTCAGTGTCCAGCCACTGGGGCCTCAGAAGCAGACCCATCCCATCTGAGAGGATTCTCATCAGGACTGTCTTCAGATCACCACCCTAAGGGTGCCAAGAGTATGGCTTTTCGACTGTCCTACAGAAATGAAGCACCTGGGTGGAGCCCTGGCCCAACGTCCTCCTGGTGGCCACACCTGGCCCTGACCCAGTGCTGTCTCTGCTGCAGGCCTCTGGGAGCCACTGGGGAGTGAACTGTCTTAACAGGTCTCTAGATGTGTTTGTTTTACTGGTTTTAAAATGGTTGGTCTCAAAAATGTGCAAATTAAGATATGCTAAAGTCATAGCTAATGTATAATCAAAAAGATGACTGTTCAGGGCTGGGGATTTCGCTCAGCGGCACCACGCCTGCCTTGAAAGTGCAAGGCCCTGAGTTCGGATCCCTGGTACCAAAAAAAAAAAAAAGATGTCTGTTCAAAGAAGTGGTGATAAGAAGAGGAAGCTAAACCATTCTGACAGGCTTTGTGGCCTCTCTCCCCATTAACCATTCAAAAGTCTGAAGCAGCAGCAGATACCACGCACCTACGCGTGTGTTCATCTCCATGCACACAGAGGACATTTTGCCTGACTCAAAGGAAAAGGTGCCAGTGTCCCACAGCATCTGCTGTACCTCTCACTGCAATCACCATCCTGTAGATGGGCAACAGGGTATAGCTTAAGACACCAGGCAGGAGCTCCCTCTGTCCCATCACCAGGACCAGACAGCCTAGGGACAAGTTAGTCCCGAGAACAAACACCATGCTCTGATCTTAATCGGAGTCATCCCTAAAGACAGTAGGACAGCTGTGGCACCAGGGCCTTCAGCAGGGCATTTTGGCTCTTTTCATATGGTGTGGGCACAACTGGTTTCAGGATGAAAAAAATTCCCAATTTCAAACAAACTTCCTTTTTGGTCTACCTGGTACCAGGAGTCAGTAGGATGGTTTATTTTTGGTTGTTTTAAAACTCAAGCAATTGAGTATTAGTCGGTGACAAAAGGATGGGTTTGAGGTTCTGTAGGCAGTTCTGTTTTCTCAGACTTTGCTCTTAAAAAGCAAAAGGTACAGTTTTGCATGGAGTTTCAAAGCTGAGCTGTTTCCACAAAGGCTGCCATGTGCACACAATGCACCAAGCACCAAGCAGCCCTCAGTCCAGAGGGTCAAAACCACAACTCCCCCCTCTATCCTTCTGTACATGTTAATATATCAAAATTTCATTCTTGACATCCAGCTTTGAGGTGCTCTTTCCATATTAGATATAAATTAATCCAGAGGTCTAGAGCTCTAAATTTCCAGGGTTGTGAAAAATTCTTAACTTACTCCAAAATTCCTTTAACTTTCTTATCTGGCATAAGAATCTCATCCCTAAGCTCCAACAAGCAAGAAAATTTAAGGGATGGAGGAATGCACAAGCTGAGGGCTCTTCTGTGCATGTGCTCTCTCTCTCTCACACACACACACACACAACACACACACATGCCCACACGCACAGTCATTCCCCTTGGCACCACCTCAGAGGTGGCTGTCTGTACAGCCCCACAGTGTCATGCTAGGCAGCAGTATTTCCCCCACCAGGACTTGGAGAGGGTCCTCACTTTGTCCGGGGCTCTGCTCTTACACTTCCTTGGCTGCTGCTGGAAGTCTGCGTGCTGGATGCCAGCCACAATGGCAGCATCAAATACTTCCTTGAGGTTCTTCTGAGTCAAGGCTGAACACTCAATATAGGAGACGGCTTTGATTTCCTCAGCGCACAGCTTCGCTGCCTCCTCAGGCACTGGCTTTTCTCTGCATTTGTCCAGCTCAATGAGTACTTTGACATCCTCTCTGAGGTCTGACTGTGTCCCAACCAGGATAATGGGGGCTTTGGGGCAGTGGCACCGGATCTCAGGTACCCACTTCTCACAGACATTCTGGAACGATGCAGGACACACCACACTGAAGCAGAGTAGGAAGACATCTGTGTTGGTGTAGCAGAGGGGCCTCAGCTTGTCAAACTCGTCCTGCAACCAAGCACACACCCAGAGTTACCCAGAGGTAATCAGCTCTCACCAACAAAAGACACCTTAACACACTAGCTAGGCCTGGCCAGTAACGGGAAGCCTACTGGGCTACAAGGAAGAGCTGGTGTCTCGGAACCAACCCTGCTGCTCAGGGGGCATAGGGCCAGCTCCAAGGCCAGTACAGCCCTAACAATGCAAATCGCCATGTCCTTGGGACTCCTGGTCACCTAGCCATGTACCATAGAAAAGGCACTTAAAGGTGTCTAGGGCCGGTTTGCTTCAATTTGCCTTTTACCCAGAGTGACCCTAACTGATTTTCAACCCTTGGAACTCAGTTACTCTTCTGAAGTTCAGAGCACACTCTATTGGCTCCAGACTCCAAACTGACCCTGGCAAGCCCCACTTACAAATACAGCCCCTCTCTTCATGATCCTAGCCCTGCCCCTCCGTACAACAGCTGTGATCGATGCTGATTCCCGATGCACACACTGCAAAACAACGTGAATGAGACACAAGAACACACCCAGGAAGGAGCTGAGACCTGTGAAAGGCCAGTCACTGAGAGCTCAGAGAACACGTGCCCCAGTGTCACAGGCACTGGTTAACACAGTCTCATTCTGACTGTATCCTCTCTCCCCCTCCTGCCTTTATTTTCTCTTACTTCCTAGCTCTGGCCTTGAACTTTTCCCCCGAGGTTCCATGCACAGTGCTTTGGACAGATAAGGAACCAGAGAACAGGTACACTTGCCCTACACTGTAGAGGCCTGGAGAGGAGTGAGAGGAGAATGGATTAAAAACAAACAATCCACTTCCATACACATGAATGCCATCCTCAACCAAGCACAGCATCAGACAAGGGTCTCGGTGTGAACAGATGGACACTTGTCTCCACGTCAGGCTCTCCTGCTATTGAACATCCTGCAGTGCCTGCAGCCCCAAACTCAATCAACCAGAAACTTCCACTCAGTCCCTTCCTGGGAAAACGTGCACACTGTCTCTTATGTAATGAGTATCTGTGGGCACTGCCATCCTCAGATCTAATGTCACTGACAACTTCCCAAAGGCAAAAAGAGGCCAAACATTTTTTTGTGTGTTTTTCATCACCCAACTGGAATACTCTGATTATCTGCCATGTCCTATTTACAGGTATTTTCTCCTCCACCCACAGCCTCTTTCTTGGGGTAGCAGTCTTATTTGACTGTGCTTTCTTCACCTGAGGATCCAGGTCTCTGCCAGGGGAAACTACTAACTGCCAGTTGACGCATTACACGCTCAGACATGAGTACAACATCCCAGGGTGTCCCTGCCCTGTGAGGCACTCTAAGTGGAAGCTGAAAGAGAACAACTTCTGTTTCTTAGTGCCAACTTTGTGCTGCAAAAATAAACTCAGAAACCCAACCAGGTAACTTGTGGCTCAGCTTCCCAAGCCTGCAGTGTAACAGCTGCACAGAACTGTTTGGGGCAGGACCAGCAGAGAGAGGAGACTGGATTGGAGCATCCTCTGGTGAAGGGGCACTCTGATTTTTTCCCTAAGTATCTCATGGGTTAAAAAGCTGAAGAACAGCGGGGGATTTAGCTCAGTGGCACCACACCTGCCTGGCAAGTGCAAGGTCCTGAGTATGATCCCCGGTCCTGCAAAAAGCTGAAGGAAGTTCAGCCTCTGTGGGCACCTCTGCAGAGGACACCTGCAGTTGCACTCCCTTCTTGCAGCCAATGGCAGGTTTCCTGTGGTTGTCCATTCATCTCTGCACTATTTGCACCCGACTCCATGAGTGCAGTCTTAAAAGCTCCATCTCACATCCACAGACACACCAGCCTTCTCTGGGAACCCTGAGGCACCCAGGAGTGAGCTCTAGGCCTTACTGGACTCCCAGCTCCCTGGCCCTCAGAGTTGCCCACAATCAGTTGATCAGTGTTCACATTCCTTCTTCTGCCTAAGGGAGAATGTGTTCCTTGGCAGGGCCACAAGGGCATGTGGCAGATGTCACATCAAGTCCCTCAAAAGGAAGTTTACCCAGTGAGGACTACTGAGTATGGAAAAGGAGCACCACTCTGACCAGCTCTGTTGCACTCTCAACCTGTGCTTAAGGAGCAGGGAGAATGCCTGACCTCATCTTCTTAACAGCAACTACTTTTCAAAATTAGTTTTTGAAGTTGGCTCTATTCCAATCTTTAGATGGTGTCCTATTTGTTATTAGCAGGTATTCTCTACCAGCCAGTGAAAAAGTTAGGGAGTCATAACTCTAAAACTGAGGTGCTCAGTACACCTGAGGAGCACCAGGAAAACTGAAAAAACAATTTCCAAACACATTAAAGCTTAGCATCTCAGTGCCAAACCTTTTCCTTAATTATAAACTTTGAGGGCCAGGGATTTAGCTCAGTGGTTTTGCCACCTACTGCGCAAGCGCAAGGACCTGAGTTCTATCCCCAGTACCAAAAAAAAAATTATAAACTTTAAGACAGTATTTCCAAAATGACTTTATGCTTCCCTGACTTTTAAACAGATAATACTAAGGGAAAATTCAATTCTTCTTTGATGATTTGCATCGTTTTTTCAGAATTTTCCTAGTAACAAGCTATTCCTCCTTCTAAAGCCTACCTGAGGGCTACCAATGGTGGCTTGAGGCCCTCTGTCTGCACTGCACTATTCCCTTTTCAACTCTTAGATACCAGCTGTTTTCCCTTCAGCCTCCAGCTCTGTGGAGGGAAGACCTGTGACTCACGTGTGTGCCCCAGAACCTGGTGGCAGCCGGTGGTACCTGAGCAAAGTCTAAAGGCAGCTCCCTGTTGGTGTCCCTGGAATCTATGCCTGGGGCTCCTGTATTTGCCTGCCTTCTCTCTGGTCCTCAGGCTGTTTCCCAAGGAGTTCTAAGTTCTGGGATGCTCCTCCACCCACCTTCTACATATGGGAAACCTGATCCTCCTGCTTTACACAAAGCAATGCCACTTGAATTACTGATACTTGTGTAGCATTTAGAAAGAGCACGTACCAGGGCTGGGGATTTAGCTCAGTGATGCCGCCACTTGCCTTGCAAGTACAAGGTCCTGAGTTCGATCCCCAATACCAAAAAAAAGAAAGAGTAAGTACCAGAAAAGACTGTGTTCTTTGATTTTTTTTTTCTGTCCCATGGCAATAAAATACACATCATGTTTGGTTTCTCCTACTCATGGTGAAGACAGCTGAAGTGCTCTGAGGCTGGGTGTCAACTCACACTGTCATGGGCACTACCAGACTGACAATCCACGAGGATCAAGGCCACTCAGCCTATGTTACCTTGGGTCAAGAAAGTAAAATCTGTCTCAGCCCTGAGAATGCTGTCCCGGGGTAGGTGAGCAGCTTGGAAGTCCTGGGTTGGATGAGGTACTGAGAGTCCCCAGAAAGTCAACTTCATAAATGCAACGGACATCTCCTGGTACCTGACAGAATGAGGAGACACTTTCACCTGCCCACAAGGTACCCCAACTGGGCACTTCCCCAACTTGGGCAACAAGCAGGGCCCAGGGCTCAGAAAGCTCCACACATTCTTGGTGGCTGGAGCACATCGGGGGGTGATGATGGTCCCAGCAGCTCCTGGGAGCACCAAGGGGATTCCACACCCACACCCCCTTCATTCCTCCCTACATGTTCCCTCCAAGTGCCCAGTCCTTGAGATAAGAATAAATACTCTTTACTGGCAAGACTGTGGCCCACTCCTTCCTCCCTCTAGCTTGGAATGGCCCTGCAAGCACATCTCTGCTCAGGCCTGGAGCTGGTCCGAGGTCAAGTCACAATGAGGGAAGGGAAGCACTGAGGCTTACTGACAAAAGCTCCAACATCTCCTTGAGCAAATTCTTGATTATCTCTGGCCTTTAATAAAATGATTATAAGGCATTACCAGCCTACTGTGAGAAATGATTACAAAGCATCAGTTTTTCGATAATAACGAGAATGTGAAGGACATCAGGAGCTCCATAAGATAAGGGCTGTTTCTGTGGCTGCTTCCTCCTCTCTCCTCTCCTGGCCAGAATGGCAGGGCCAGACTGACTGCTCATTCAGAGGTGTCCTGATCGCTCCTTCCCACCCTCCCTCCTACTCCAAGAGGGGCCAGTGCAGGCAGGGGAAGGGGCCAGTGCAGGGGTGGGCCCACCCAGGAGGCTTCAGAAAGACCCAGTTACTAAGGGGACCCGTAGAAACACAGCAAAGGTCATTTGGAAACCTTCAAAAGACTGTTTCCTTTCCCAGTGCTGAGTGTAACATGATACTGACCTGTCCTGCAGTGTCACAGAGCTGGAGTCTCACGGGCCTCCCATCCACTGACACCACAGCTTGAAAACAAGACAGATGATTATCAGGAGGAGTCTTTTACCTTTCCAGAGGGCTGACATTCTTCAGCTTGCTCTACTATTCTTGATGCAAACCCCTGGGCTTCTGCTCCGGGTCTTCTCGGAACAAGGAGGGCACGGGGGTGTCTCTATACACAGAACTCCAGGTTGGCAGGTCCCTACCCTGGCAGGAACAAGGGGGCAGCGAATCCCTGAGCCCTGGATGGTGCCCTTGGAAGGGCCTGAGCTTTCCTCCCAGACTTGGAAGATTTATTTTCCTGTCACACTTGTTTCAAAGGGCCTAAAAGCAACACAGGGGGTTAGAAGGAGCCAACCTGGCAGATTTAAAACATGGAAACCTCACAAGGAATAGTTTCCCTTGGGAAAAGTTCCTGACTTTGGGGTTTATCGTAAAATTAGCCATTTCAGGAACTTGTACAAACACAAGCTACAAATCCCTGTGTCTAGAAGTGGGTAACCCCCATCCCTGTCAGTTTAAAAACAGGATCAAAAAAGGAGAGAGGAGAGAGCCTGCCACCTTTCCCCAAAGTGATTACGTGGGTGGTAGAAGTGTACTCCAGACAGGCTTTGAAGGTTTCTACTGGAATTAAGCACTGTCTTTTTGCCCACAATCTTCTAATTGTTTTTAAACGCTTAGGATAGGCAGCTAGGAAGGCAGCCAGCAATAGCGCTGGACTTCACCTAAGGTGCCTCCAAGTGGGTGGGTGGGGGGGTGTGCAGGCCTCGGCCATCCGGCTCTCAGGTCACAGAAGCACGCTGTTTTTTAAGGAACCACAAGCTTCTGTGAATTTTAACTTTTTCTTAAAATCCAAAAAGACCTGAGAATCAAGATAAAGGACTCCTTTACCTCTGTATGACACCGAACCCCATAGGTAAGAACTTGCCTAGGTTAAAGGAAGCCGATGCCACCAGAAGCTGAGGCGGCAGGGCGGGGAGGGGCGGCCCGGGCTGAAGAAAGGAAGGCTCTGCGCCAGCCCAGCCCTCGCGTGCCCGGGGCCGGCACTGGGGCGCACTGCGGCGGCTCTTCAAAGCCACGCGCCGCCCCGCGCCGCTCCGGCCCCCGCACGCCCGGCCCGTCCGCCCCGCGCCCCACGCCCCACGCCTGGGCCCCGGCCTGCCAACGTCCCGCGCGCGCCCGCCCCGCGCTCACCCGAGAAGTTATCGAAGGCGGTGGGGATGTACTCGGTGGGGTAGCCGTTGGTGGTGTAGCTCACCACCAGGCTGGTCTTGCCTACCGCGCCGTCGCCGACCAGCACGCACTTGACGCCGCGCCCTTCGGCGCCCCCCGCGCGCCCCCAGCCCCCCGGCGCCCCGGGCCCGCGCGCCCCGCGCCCCCCGCGTTCCCGGCGAGGCGGGACTGGCGGGGGCTCACAGCGCGCGGCCAGAGCGGGCCGCCCCTGCTGCGGGGCCATCGCCGGCGGCCCGCGCGGGGACCTGCGGCCACCAGCGGACAAAGGCGGCGCGAGGTCGCCTCTGCGCGGGGCGACTCAACCCGCGCGGCCGCACTGTGGCCAAGAGTGCTCCGCCCGGCTTCCCGGCTGCACGGGCGGCGGGCGGGGAAAGAGGCGGGCCTGGAGCCGTGATCTCCGAGCCGAGACCACAGCGCCCCCGCCTGCGCGTCGCGCCCCTGCACCGCGCCGCCGCAGCGTCCCCGAGCCCGTGGGGACCCACGCTCCTGCTGCTTTTGGCTTCCCCTGCTCCTCCTCCCTCTCCTCCTCCTCCTCCCTCTCCTCCTCCTCCTCCCTTGCTCCTCCGTCTACCCAGGCTCCTTCTCCTCCTCTTCTACACCCTTTCCTTACTCCCCCTCTTCCCCCAGTCCTCTCCCCCTCACAACGTGGCGCTCTGGGCCTCCTATGCAATGCCCACCCAGGGCAGATGGTAGTGTCCTCTGAATGAGACAGAATGACAGGCACCTTCTAAATCTTCTAAAATCACGTATTCTTTAATGGGCACAAAAGGGTACTCCCTATCCTTGATGCTTGTTTAATTTTCTCCTCTTACGTGCCATACACTCATAGTCTAATGAATTTCCTTGTGGCCCCAATTCTTTCGTTTATTATGATATGCAAGTCGGCAATAGTAGTATTATCTGAAAATAAAAAATTGACCCATCATCTTTGCTTCTCTTCTCTCTGGCCTCCTCCTGCGTGTGGTCACAGCAGGGCTGCCCCTTTTGGGCCTCCTCAAGATACCATGGGCTCCTGGCGTGGGTGTGCCCTGAATGTTAGTATGTATGAGTACAGTACTGATAGGAGTAAAAACGACAAGAGCTGAGAAATGTTGAGTGTTTTTTATGCACCAGACACTGTTGTAAGTACTCTGCCTAAATTAATTCCTTTAATCTTGTCATCACCTGGACCCATTTTCCACACAGGAAACCCTGAGGCACAGATGTTAAATGACTAATTTGAGTTCCACACAGTAGGAAATAACAGTGCCAGGACCCAAACTTAAGTGGCCTGAGCAACTAACTAGCACCTGGCATGTAAATAAATATAAGCAGTATAAATCAGACCTGGAAATATACCAGCGGTTATGGGAATGCAGAGAGTTTGTCAAGAGGCTGGGAACTTAATCCAGGGGCAGTGGGTGGCAATGAGCACTCCCAAGGCCCTGCTGAAATTAAGCTATAAAAGAGCTGTTTTCAGGACACAGAACCCCAGGACCTGACCTAAAGTGACCCTGAGAACCTCTTGGAACCAGAAGTCTCCCAGGAACAGAACATGATGAACAAGATTAGAAGCTGGGGTGCCATCTAGAGTGCCAGAATGAGGAGGACCTGAAACTCTCCCATTACCACCAGTTGGCTCTCCATTTCCACTCATTCTAGGAGGCTTGCTTCCTCCTCTGTGGCCCATCAGGGAGGCAGGTTTGAGTGTGTCCCCTGCCTACTTGGTGGCCCACCAATGACGTCTCTTCTTTTTGCAAAACTAGTGCCACAGTATTGGCTTCTATGCATATTTAGCAGCAAGCCCTTGCTGGGTATTGCTAGGAGACCCAGCAGCGTGGCACTGTGGGCCCTGGTGGCTTTCGGTTGTCTTGCCCTTCTGTTAGTGACCTGGGGCTCCTGTCTGCTTGCATCCTGTAACTATGCCACCTGGGACCTGGGTATTTCTTTTTTGGTACCAGGGATCGAATTTGGGACCTTGTGCTTGCGATGCAGGTGGCAGCACCACTGAGCTAAATCCCCAGCCAGACGTGGGTATTTCTGAAAGTAAACGTGTGCTTCTGTGCTATGCAAATTGTGTGTGAGTGCAATGGTATAAGAGGTCAAAGCTGGAAACAATGTAAATATCCAAAATGGTAAAATGGATGAATTAGCTGTGGAATATATATCATACTATTCAGTCAAGGAAATGACTGAGCATATAAGAATAAATCTCAAGAACACAATGAGGAGTAAGAGATGCCAGCCACAAGAGTACAAACTATCTGATTTGATACACATACAAAGTCACAAATGGGTGAAACCAAGTCGAGTTGCATGTTGGCATAGCTGAGGAAGATTGTTCAGTGTTTGGCTGATGTTTTAATTTTTGATCTGAGTGATAATTGCATGATGTGTCTTTATAGCAATTAATTATGCTATATATTTATTTGCTTTTGTGAATTGCATTATATTTCAAAACAGCAGTGTAGCACTCATACTAAATAGGACTCATGGTTATTTATGCTCCAAAGAGCTATTTGCTTTAGCCCAACACAGTGCCAACCTTGAATTAAATAATACTCATTATAAAATTTGAATTTGAATCCCATTAATTCAAACTTTTCCAGGAACACATATCACAGAGTGCTGTACACTCTGTACATCTCTCATTTTTATTTTCAATATGGGTATCATCTTCCATGAGTGCTATTTATAGGTATTTTAATATTTTTAACCAACTGAACTGGTTCTGCAGGATTATTACAAAAGCAGTCAATGGCAATTCATGCACATAACTTCCGGGAGGAAAAAAAATGAAAGTTTTAGGAGGGCTCGGAGGGACAGCAGGGACACTGGCCTAGGGCTCAAGGCCCAGCCCTCTGCTCGAAGAGAATGTGCTGAGCAAGGCAGGCGAGACTTGCTGGCAGCGCCTTTCCTTCCTCAGTTTTGGTTTACCTCCTCTTTAAAATCCCTGCTCTGGGATCTCCCAGCTGTTGCAACTCTGCCCTCCCCCTGATGAGAAAGGATACATCCACCTCCTCAGAACTGCCTCAGTATGTGCCATGGGCCTCGCCTCCACAAAAGAACCTCCCTCCCAGCCCTGCACAACAACTGATAGCTGCCAGCTTCCCTCCCAAACACAACCCAGAAACTCCTCAGGTCAAAGCTTTCCCAGCTCCACAAGTCCTCCCTGATGATAAGAACTCTTTAGAAACTCCTCTTAGCTGTTGCAAAACCTTGACCTCCCCTCATTTTTCAGTCACCCCAAAGATAAGAACAGGCCATGTAATCGTTTCCAAGCAGCCATGATCACTAGCCCTCAGTTCTGAAATGATGGGACAGTCCAGCTCCTCCCACAACCTGCAGCCCTGTCTTTCCCAGCGGAGGCTGAAGCTCCCACAGTTGGTCCTGCTGTGGAGGATGGAGGAGAAGGTGCTTCCTGTAGTGCTCAGTAATTGCCAGAAATCATTGCAGCTTAGAGACTGGAGAAAACATGATACCCAAACACCCCTCAAATCTGCCTGCAGCATCCTTTGAAAAGAAAGGTGAGTCTGCTGTACCACGAACCTGTTTTCCCCATCATATGCATCCTAGAAGGTACATTTTCTTCCACACATTGGAATCATGGGAGGAATTCAATTTCAGAGGGACAGGGGTATGATCATTAGCTGTGGTATTGAGTGTTGGGATCCCTAATGAGCTCGGAGTGGAGATGTGTGAGCAAGAGAGGTGAGCACAGCTGTGCTGGGAAGCGGCCATGCCTTCCAGGAGCTCATCGTTCCTGAAGGAAGAGATACCATGAATAACTGCAATTCCAGGCCATATGTGGAGGGGCTGGGGACGTGCAGAGAGGGGAGTAGGAAGTCAGAAGTTGTGCAGGACAGATTCCTGGAGGGGACAAAAATGTTGCTGTGACTCAGGGAAGCAGACTATTGAGGATCCCACAGAAGCCCCTCCCCCACCTTCCCAGTGAGTACAAATCTCCAACAAATTACAGTAACATTGATCAGGCTTACAATGTCCCAACCATTTTTCACAGTTCATCCTCATAAAATCTAAACCTATACTATTCTTTCTCCAATTTTACCTGTTAGAAGATGGCATCTCAGAGAGACTGAGTTTCCTGAGGCTGCCCAGCAAGGAATGGAGACAGGACTCAATCCTGGAGATGGAGACTTTTACCATTATCAGACGTCAGATGTACACATACAGCAGAGCAGCAAAGTTGTGTCAGTAAAGGCTTGCAGCATGGTCACAGTCATGTTGAGAACCGAGAGCCAAGTGGCTCCCTGGCTCCCAAGTCACAGTGCTAGTAAACTTGACTGGTGGTGAAGGAGGAAAGAAATGGTTCCAAAGTTCCTAGCAAATAGCATCAGAGGGGAAAGAAGTGTGTGTGCGAATAGTGAGGCCTAAGAAGTATGGGGAGGGGGGAAATGTACACTATTAATTCGAAGTTCTTAAAAGGCTGGGGTTGGGGCCGGGGATTTAGCTCAGTGGTTTCGCTGCCTACTGCGCAAGCACAAGGACACGAGTTTGATCCCCGGTACCAAAAAAAAAAAAAAAGGCTGGGGTAAAATGTGTCATCTCATTAGCAGTATTTTATGTTTACTAAGATGTTAGGAGGGAAGAAAGAGAGTGTTTCTCATATGCTGCTGATTTGAAATCATTTTTATCCATTCATTAAATTAATTCCATAAACCTGATTGAGGCTCTTTGTTAATGGAAGGGCTTGAGAAATCAACTTTTATGTTTTAACTTTTTACTATAATTCTAAAATTTCATTAATTCAAATGGCTTTCTAAGTGGTCAAAATTTGAAAGTTTTAAGCTGCACTAAAAGATGGAATTTCAGCTCTCTAGAGAGACCAGGTCTTCCCCTGGTGAAGTGTGGGACTTTCTATGCCCTTGCTGGCCACCTGGGTGGCCAGTGCTCTGCTTTCCACAGCCTCAGATACATGGACCAAGTGGCACAGAAGTGGAGCAAAGGTCACCCCTGCCAGTGCAGTTCCTTGGAGCCTGCCAAAGCCAGCAGTATGGCTCTGTGACAGGCACCTGCCTGGCCACCTGAGTTCCAGACTAGAATCTCAGGCTTCTGTGCCTCCAGAGCTTGGCAGGAACCAGTCTTGGAAGCCACTGAGGAAAAAATTCTTCTGGGCTTTTCCTCCCTAGGAAAAGAGAAAACATGGCTGTTCTTGGGCAGTAATTTCTGTAAACTGTAACACTGTCCAAGGAACTCAAGAGTACTATGTGGATTCCTACCACATACTCCAAGGAGAAA